GGAACATATTCTCCTGTGCTCCCCGTGTGTGTGTTTGAGTGCCAGCAATCCCTTTTTGAAAAGTCTTTGTCGACTTTCAAAGTTTTTGCCGTGGGGAATCTGAATAAACCGTGTGCCTTACAACACCCTCCCACAGGCAGGAGTAAAAACACAGATCTGACGTTTTCAGTGTGGCTGGCTTTGTCACATCCTGCAGCTTTTTTCCCGTTAACCTCATAAAGCTGCACCTCATCACCTCTCACAGCTCAGAGCGTACTTTATGGTATTATACGAGCCCTCTGTGGAGCTGCAGCAAATGCATTTGTCTAAATAAAATTAACAGTTTTCCCTTCTTGAGCAGCGCAGTGGTGACAAATTCTTGTTTGCGAGCTATCTTTGCAAATGTCTGCATTTCTTCCTCAACTGAGAGACATCTGTTATGAACATTGCAGGGAGGGATATTTCCAGGGGCAAAATCCTCCTGAGCTCATAGACCACCCCTTCCTCTGGGCGCTGCTGGCCTTCAAGCACACGGTTAGACAGGACTGTTTCCAAGGTTTGCGTATTGCCAGTGGTGCAGAAAGTCTCCTTCCACCACAGCGCTCTGGTGACCAGCGTTATTTCCAGTTTGTCATTCAAATCCGAAAAAGCAAAGGAAATCAGGCCTAATGCTTCAATGTCCCTACACCTCTGCTGACTCGCCCCGTGGAGACAGCCTCATTACACAGTGAAGCGATCCAGTACAAGGTGGAAACAACTTATTTTTGAGAAATACAAATGCTTAGTTGAATGGACAAGAGAGACAGCAGTTTGAAAGGAATCCCATCAAGAGCGAGCACAGGGAGACGTCCGAAAGGCGCCACAGATGAGAACACACACACACAGTTTTTCCTACACACTTGACCCAGCAGACAATGAAGTATTTATTTATTTTTTATTTTTTTTAAGGTCAAGCTGCAGTGAATGAAGTCAGCCTTGGCTTATTCGCCGAACTAGTCTTAAACGTGGAGGTTAAAGTTGCACGCCGCGAGCCTGATTCCACTGTCGGCTGTGACAGAGGATAAATGAAGGCAGCTAACCCACACAGAGTGGAACAGATGCATTCAGGTGTGTATACCTGTTATTTGGGTATTTTTTTTCAGGCTTTTACAATTTGCACAGATGCAACTTTCGTTTCCAGGTTTTTGTTTACAGACACTGAAAATGATCAATTGATGAGCCAAAAGATCACTGACAGAAAATAAAGCCAATAATTTTGATTCAGTGTTGTCGACGTTAGTGGGTCAGAGCAGTGAAACTCGTCTTTACTGAAATATGTTAATATATGAAAAAGGACTGAAACAGTACGCCTCAGTTTTTCTAATGCTGCTCTAGTAAATGAAAGACGTATGTCAGCAGGACTCTTGGGGCTCTCGTAGCTCATTGCTTAAATTGTTCTATAATTATAAAATAGAAAGTTTCACCTCGACCCATCCAGCCACCAGAGGTTTCTTTCTGTTAAAAGGGAATCTTCCCATCCCATTGTTCTCAAGTGCATTCTCATAGGGGCTCATCTGTTTGTTGAGGTATTGTATGGTCTTTATCTTTCAGTATAAAGCCCCTTCAGGTGACAGTGTTGTAAACCAGTGCTATGTAAACTAGAAAGTGCATTTTCTGAAGAACTGCCGTGTGAATGCTAAAATCTGAATATATGCACTGAAATGAATGAATTGCTGAATTTGAAGTTAAAAAGTTTGAATGAGATAAAAAAAAACAAAAAAAAAACAGAATTTAACCTGAAATCAAAAGTGCTGAAGTGCTAAAAGCTGACATTCATACAGAAGAAGTTGTAAAATAGCTGAAAATGTTTTAAATGTTTTAAAAGTTGAATAGTTGAATGTCTTGGCTTCGTTTTAAAGTTTGAATGGTGGCTCTACGTCAATGTATGTGGAAG